AAATGCAAAAGTCATGCACAATGCAAAGAAGGCTACAGAACAGCGGGAAACACTTTTCTGCACGCGGGTTCTCTATAACAACAGAACACTCCGTCGTGCAAAAGAACTCCAATTCGGCGGGAACATAATTTAGCGGTGCTGAAGCACACACAATTAAAAAATCCACAACTTTGGCTTGTGACAGTATTAACATAGTAATGCTATCTGTTATTGGGTTTTCGCTATTACCCCACTCACACACATGCACACCTGGGGGTATATTGCATCATTCTTTGTGTAGATATGGTCTAGGATTCTGTCAGCTGGTCAACTGAGGAACAATTTCTCTCTCCTGGGGAAACATAGGGATGGCTGGAGGCAGTGCAGTGGCTCTGCCTTGCACCCACCCCACCCCAGTTGGGCTGGGCAAGTGGCAGGAGGGCATAGCCCCTGCTCCCAGCACTGCCAGTGCCTGCCTAGAGCACAGCCTGGTGCAGCTCTGGCCCCACTAGCCCCGCCTTGCACAGATCTGGGGCATGTGCCCCCCTCCCCCCCATCCTCCCAGACAAGCAGTGGGAGCAGTGGTAGGAACCACTGGACGAGCAGCTCCCAAACCAGCAGCATGAGCTGCCCCCCTGCGCATCCACCCTGCTCCTCCCTGGCTGGGCAGCGCTTGTCCCAGTCTAGTCCCTGTCCCAGCCTCACTCCTTCCCTCACTGTGGGGGTGTTGAGCTGCCCACCCCCATGCCCCTTCCCTCCCCACTTCCCTTCCACCACAACAGACTTACCAGCTGGACGCAGCTGTATTGAGTTTCGTAAAGGAACCGATCCCCCATTTATAACATTGTTCCTATGGAAAAACTGGTTCTGAGCTGCAACGTTTCAACTTACGACACAGTTTCCAGGAACCAATTGTGTCGTAAGTCTGAGGACTGCTTGTACTTGAATTCTTGTTCTTCATATCCTCACTGCAAAGTAGATTCTAGCTCAAGTCAAAGTAGAGTTTGGGGTGTAACTTGCATCCAAAGCCAGGTCAGCTAGCCTGGCTACTGAAGCACAATGGATCAGTGGATGTTGAGGGACATTCAGGCTAAAACCCAGCAAGGACTTCAGTTTAGAGACCTACACTGTGCTGTATAGGTATACTGTTAGAGTGGGGAGTAGAAATATGAAACCAGAACCTATTTAAATAGTCAATTTTCAGAAAATGTATAATTTGCACAACAAATAATAAAAGTCTTTTCTTGGGTCCCCTCCATGAACAAAATGAAAATTCCATATAACTTGGCATTTACACCCATTTATTTCAAGTTCTGCGTATGGCAAAAATATTTGTTCATAGTGATGCCTATAATGTGAGAAGAGGTGCTACCTTAAAAGGGGTGGGTTACCTTATATACAGGAATGGAAAGCTAGCAGACTGTGGAGTGGACGCCTACATGGTCAGGTGGGTGGCCATCTGGCTTAGGAACCACACCCAGAGAGTGGTGGTGGATGGTTCCTTCTCGGCCTGGAGGGAGGTGGGCAGTGGGGTCCCGCAGGGTTCGGTCCTTGGACCGATATTATTCAATATCTTCATCAGTGATTTGGATGAGGGCGTGGAGAGCACCCTCTCCAAGTTCGCTGATGATACCAAGTTATGGGGCAAAGTTAGTACACTGGAGAGCAGGGCGCAGATTCAGGCTGACCTGGACAGGTTGGATCAATGGGCAGAGAGAAATACAATGCAATTTAATAAAGATAAATGTAAGGTACTCCATACTCCGGGAAGGAGGAACCCCCAGCACACCTATAGGTTAGGGAGTGTCCTTTTCAGCAGCTCGGAGGCAGAGAGGGATCTTGGAGTCATAATCGACTCCAAGATGAACATGAGCTGGCAGTGTAACGAGGCCATCAACAAGGCCAATCGCACCTTGTCTTGCATTAGCAGGTGCATGACTAATAGAACAAAAGAGGTGATGCTCTCCCTCTATGCGGCACTGGTCAGGCCGCAGTTGGAGTACTGTGTCCGGTTTTGGGCACCGCACTTCAAGAGGGACGCGGGGAATCTCGAGAGGGCCCAGAGGAGGGCCACTCACATGATTAGTGGCCTTCGTGATAGACCCTGCAGGGGAGGTTGAGAGAGCTGAATCTCTTCAGCCTTCACAAGAGACGGCTGAGGGGAGATCTTGTGGCCGCCTATAAATTTATTAGGGGATGTCAACGGGGAATAGGGGAAGCGCTGTTAGTACTAAGGCGCCCCAGGGAGTGACTAGGAATAACGGGTGTAAACTAGTTGAGAGTGGATTTAGGTTAGATATTAGGAAGAAATTTTTCACAGTAAGGGTGGCCAGGATCTGGAATGGGCTTCCAAGAGAGGTGGTGCTTTCACCTAGCCTGGAGGTCTTCAAGAGGAGGCTAGACATTCACCTGGCTGGGGTCATCTGACCTCGGTCCTCTTTCCTGCCAGGGGCAGGGGGTCGGACACGATGATCCATTGTGGTTCCTTCCGACTCTACAATCTATGAATCTATGAAAGTATGTAGTACTAAAAGAAATATTTTAGGCCATTTATACAGAGATTATGGTAGGTTAAAATGTGAACACAACAAACATAAAATGGGGAAATAGTCCTCATATCCTTTTCAACCCATCTAAGAAGGAATGAGCTAATGTCAAAGTATGGGTAACAAGGATCATACAAGAGATGACACTCCTGTGGTACAGAGAATGCCACTGTGAACCGGGTCTTTTACAGAAACATACACAACGCTCTTTGATCACATGGAAACAGTAATTGGATTATGGAAAAATGAGGAAAGTGTGTAGGTCAGGTACTAGAGGAGATGGTGTTGGCTGAATGCTGTTTACAAAGAAATTTAAGACCAGTTTTATTTTGGGGGTTTTGGGGGGGGGTAGGGGGGAGGGACAAAAAGAGGAAGAATAAAACCTCTCTAAAATTATGGGCTTGGCTACCCATGGCATGAATCTGGAATAGATTCGTTTTGGAATGACTTCCTAAATCACTGTGTGGACACATATTTTGGAATGCGAATGTCCCCTTCCCTCAGCCCCAGGGAACTGGCCTGAAACACCTAGCTACAAAATCATATTTTAATCTGAATTTTCAAAGGTAGATGAGCAGGAATAAACCATTTTCCCCTCAATTATGACAGCAGGGGCATAATGGAGGTGTGACTTCTACAGGTCACCATGGCTCTACATGGGAAGGAGCTGTTCCTTTTTTCTTTATCAGTTTGTGCTATGGGAATGAAGTTTTCAGCCTTTGCCTGGGCTCTGGGAGAGGCAGGCCCCGGGCACGGGGTTCCCCACTTCCAGGTGGGCAAGCAGTCCTCGAAACGGTGGCAGGCCCCGGAGGCTGAGATCCTGCTTCCTTGCCTTTCCCTCCTCATGCAACAATGAATGGTGTTTTGGTAACCGCTCT